CGAGCGCCAGATCAAGATCTGGTTCCAGAACCGGCGCATGAAGTACAAGAAGGACCAGAAGGCCAAGGGGCTGGCTTCCTCTTCAGGGGGCCCCTCGCCCGCCGGCAGCCCCCCGCAGCCCATGCAGTCCAGCGCCGGCTTCCTGAACGCCTTACACCCCCTGACCCCCAGCTACGAGAGCCCGTCCCCGCCCGCCTTCGGCAAAGCCCACCAGAATGCCTACGCGCTGCCCTCCAACTACCAGCCCCCTCTCAAAGGCTGCGGCGCCCCGCAGAAGTACCCCCCGACCCCGGCGCCCGACTACGAGCCCCACGTCCTCCAAGCCAACGGGGGCGCCTATGGGACGCCCACGATGCAGGGCAGCCCCGTGTACGTGGGCGGGGGCGGCTACGCGGATCCGCTGCCGCCCCCTGCTGGCCCCTCCCTCTACGGCCTCAACCACCTGGCCCACCACCCCTCGGGGAACCTGGACTACAACGGGGCGCCCCCTATGGCCCCCAGCCAGCACCACGGACCCTGTGACCCCCATCCCACCTACACAGACCTCTCCTCTCACCACGCGCCTCCTCCTCAGGGTAGAATCCAAGAAGCGCCCAAGTTAACACACCTGTGATGGGAGTGGCTGGACGGTGGGGGTGGGGCAAGGTGGCGGCGGGCCAGCCCTTGGGTTGTGGAGCTCTCGGGGCAGATCCCAGAGGTCTGGAGGAGGAGGCCAAGGGGCAGTGGTGAGACTCCCTGGGAAGAACAATGGGTCTGAGCCTGCCCTGCCAAATTGGTCTTCAGCCCTCCAGCCTCTGCTGCCATCCACCTGCCAGCCCATGGGAAAGGAGTCACAGCCAATTGGAGATGACCCCATCAACCCCAGGGCTTCAGCACTCCCAGTTGGAATTCTACTCTGGGGGGTGGGGTAGAGGAAGAGGAATTGGGAAAATAAGGCAGAGAAGCACAGGACAGGAGACAAAAACGCCAGACAAGATGGCTAGGCCATCACCCACCAACCAACCAACGTACCTGCCATCCCTGTGAGCGATTCTCCCACACCTTGACTCCCCCCCCCTCCCAATTCTCTTTGAAAGCAAAACAAAACATATTTCAAATGCAAGGGCACAAACCACACTCTACCTGCTTTCCAGGGGCCTCAAGTTTGCTCCCATGTCTCTGAGGTTTAGTGGGGTAACCCCCTCCATTTCTAGCCCAGATGTTTCTGCTTTAGGGCATTGTTACTTACACACACACCCCTTGATGACAGTGTTCAGAGGGCTCAGGGATGGTGAGAGAGCCTGAAAGTCAGAGCTGCCTATATTATAAATCGATATATTTTTCCCCCTTTACATAAAAATTGGGAGGCAGGCAAGTTGTCAGGGCTAAAGACTTGCCCATCCTACCACCTCCTGCCCGGGCTCCAGGTCCATCCCCTTCTCTCCATAGAAAACATCGGTGACACGGGGTTCTCCACATTTTCTTTTCTTCTGTTACTCTCTTGACTTAACGTGAAAACAGGGTATATTTGAACAAACTGTCTGTCCCAGGCAGAGGGTTGCAGCTTGGCCTGTGAGCCTCGCTGCCCCCGCTGACAGGACACTTTTGTTGCACTTAGAGTTTACATTTTAATGGATATAAAAACAACTGTGAGAGGTGCCTGGGCCTGCAGGAGCCCAGCGTCGCTCAAAAAGCTTGTGTTCTAGTGAACATTTTCATATATATTTATTGGTTATAGCCTGTTAAAATATTTTCATTTTGTATTATTTATCCCCCCACATTATGTATTTATGAGGGAAGAAAGGAAAAAAAATTGTACTTTTTTAGTATTTACTTGTTATAAAGGACGTTGTGTTTTTCTGTCATGTAAAAGCAGCTATTTTAGTTATTGTACTCTAGAAAAGAGCTGTAGATTTATGTTAAACTCGTACTTATGAACAATTGTAATTAGTTTACCAGGCATGGACTCAGCTCCTAATTGTCACTGTATAGTCCTGAATTTGTAGACTTAGAGTTAATTCTCTTGGAACTTTCTTTGTTCTTTGTAGTTACATTTTTCCTCACTTAAAAGGGTTGTCTGTCGAGCAATTCTTAAATAAACTTTCTGTTATCTATTTTATCTTGTCCTAGTGATCCCATTCAGCTAGCAAATTCCGGCTGCTCACTGCCCACTGCCCCTCAAGGGAAGCAGGCCATTCAAAACGCTACTCCTGACCTTAGTGCCCATCGCTCCGTGCCTATTCCCTTCTCTGCCTCAGCTTGAAATGCAGCTTTTTTCACCCCTGCTAGTTCTGGAACATTCCTCCAACCCCTTTAGCTAAGGCCTAAGTAACAAGTTGAGGGGGGAGGCTCTTAGGCGCTCTCTATAGGGATGTTGGTGGGGCTTCTCTGCCCCCCAGTTTCCCTCTTGGATCTTTGTCTGCTCCTCCCCAGGCCACTACCTCCGAGGCCACTGGGCTCCTACTTCCACCTAACAACAAGGGCAACAACAATCTGACCCATTGCTGCTGCTTCCAACCTAAACTTCAGTCCTCTTCCGGAGCTACAAAGAAGTCGTCACGTGACCCGAAGCCCAACCACCATTGGGTCTAAAATGAAAACAAAGGAAAACGATTAATTTAAAACAAAAAAATCCTCCAAAGCCCACCCAACTGAGGCCTAGACTTCTCAGGTCAAACCTTAAAATTAAAGTGAAATTAAATCACTAAATAAGACTTGGGGGCGGGGTGGGTGGGGAGGGGACGTTTGCTTTCCCCAGTCAGAGAAAGGAGAGAGGAGGAAGCCATGAGAATCCAAGGGTGAATAAAATGGTCCCCGGGCTAATATGCTACTCTGTTTCCACAGTCCCTGGGAAAACTTCCGTCCTTAGTCGTGCGTGCTTCCATAAAAGTTTTATCACATTGGAGCCAGGATAGAGAGGGTCTGTCAAAGATGAAATGTCACCCGCCGCGTCGCCGATAAGAGCGAGGAGACAAGGCGGCTGAAATATGGAGCTAATTCGTTGAAAGAGAAAGAGATGCCTGCTTGCTGAAGAGTTGCATAATTCTAATGGTAAGCGATGCTCCCGCATTGCTTCATTAGGAGCATATATTTGGTGGGGGGACAGGACGGCGTTGAGAATCGCTGCAGGCCCTCAGCCTTAAAGCCAGAGCTGGTTTTCATGTTTATGTTGCATCCTGGCAGTCCAAGGTTAGTCATTACAGTCTTTATGCAACAATAAATAACAATAAAAAAGCAACTTGGGTTCTCCACTCTCCACCCCCACCGGCCATCACCCCCAACTAGGATTTTCACCGGACTCTGGCATTCAAGCCGCAAACAATTTAGCATTGGGTCAGAGAATAATTTAAAGGCATAAGGGGGTGCAAAGTTTGATTGGGATCAAATAATGCTCACAAGCCTTCCTTCTTTCCGTCCATCCGTCCTTCCTCCCTCCCTCCCAACCTCCCTCCCCCTCTCTCTTCCTACAGGGAATAACACTTTCTGGATGATGGAACTAGATGAAATGCCATGTTTGACACTGGGGGTGGATTGATTCTTTATCTAGCGGTAGGGAGAGGAAGGCCAAGAGGAAGCATTCAGTTCGAGTTTGAAAACCAGAGCTTGGACCCAAAGCTGGAATGGCAGCCCAAAGAAAGGCCACTGTGACTTGGTGTCCCTGCACCGGTCTTTCTCTAGGAGGGGTTCCAGGCTCCCAGCTCAGCAGTGGCTGGTGTGGGTCAAATATCTGGGCGGTAAGATTCTCAGCACAAGTGTGGGGAGGAGGAGAGGAGCAAGCAGAGATATCTGCAGGAAGAAGGTCTCTCTGGGCCCCCTTTTAACACCAAGTTTTCTAATCTGGCCGTAAAATCTGTCAGTGAGGGTTAGAGAGAGCTGTATTTACTGACGGGACAGTGGAGGCTGGCGGCTGGCTGGGGTGGCCTGGGCTCAGCAGCCACGGGAGCCTGTTCAAAGGTTGCTGGGCTTCTCAGGGGGCTAGACGAGGTGGGAACCCCCCACATAGGCCTCACTGCACAGCTTCTCGCCAGTGAGTACTCAGCTTCTCCTGCATCCACCCCCTGCCCCCAAACACACACGCAGTCCAACTGGACACACAGTTTGCCCAGTGCTAAGCCCTCCAGAGACTGCCTCCCCCTGCCCCTGCAGCTCCCAACCTCAGACTCCCCTTTCTCCTCAGGCCTCCCTTCCGCCCCCACCCTTCTCAGATGGCTCTGTCCTTTTTAAATACTCACCACCACCCACGCGGAGGTTACAATGACAGAAACTTTCTAGTTCCAGGGCTCGGCTGAGTTGCCATTTCTCTGCTAACCGCCTTCTCCTCCAGGCTGGGCGGCAGAGTGAGGAGGGGGAGGGGAGGCCAGAGCCATGGGAATTCGCCAGCCAAACTTTCCATCCAACTTAGCGCCTTTCCCGCTGTCCCTATTTCCCATCTGTTTCCCTGCTCGCCCAGAATCACCTTTCTCTTTTGCTAGCCCCCCACCCCACCCCCACCCTGCCCGGGTCTTTTTAAGCGATGTAGAATTTCGGCTGTTCCCTGGGCTTTCCCAAAGAGCCAAATTCTTTGATGCAATCTGAGGGAGCTGTCAAGGGGCTAAGATTGATCGCCTCATCTCCTCTCCGTCCCTCTGACCCACTTATTTAAAAATCTTCCCCCAGATCGACTTTTCGTTTTCTGCTTGGAGGTCTGGTTTCCCACCAATTGCTTGGGGCCTGAGTCCCTTTCCGACCCCCTCCCCAGTAAACTGCAGTGCTCTCTAAAGTTGAGATTCTCTGGGTCCCCCCAGAACAACACAAGCACCCCCTCCTACATAGTTATCCCTGAGGGACCAGAAATGGAATATTAGCTCAGTGGTCATGACTTCACCCTCTTCATCTGCAGACACCTTTGGCTGTCAGTGCTTAAAACAGAAGAAGGAGAAGAAAGTCCAACGGCAGAAATGGGGATGGGGTGTCTCTTTGCCCATAAGGAGCAAAAGCACCTGATCCATACACACACGTGTGAATTCCGAGCTTTGAAGAGCACTTGAAGTGAAGCCTCATTCCTGCTTATTGGGCCTGGAGATCAAAGCAGCTTGAGGTTTGAGTGAGTGCAAATGTGTGTTAGGCAGATGAAGGAAGGTAGATGCTTTCAGATGAGGCAGGCAGGTGGGCATAAGGTGCAGTAATCGATTGCCAAATACTCTGGGCATAGAAGGAAACCCAGGCCACACAGATGTGGAAACCAGAGGCCCATAATCGGTCCATCACCATCTAGCTCAATCCTCTGTGTCAGCCAGGGAGTGATTACAGATTTTCCAAGATTTAACTGTTGCTTTGGGGGTAGGTGGGAAGGGGATGGTGGGGCTGATGGTTGTAAATCTCCTCTCTTCCTTATCTGCACCTTAACACTCACCTTTCCCTAGCTGGTGCAAATCTCTCCCAACTTCCTCTTCCTCCCATACTGAGATCCAGCACTCATCTCTTTTTTGGGGTGGGGTGGGGGAAGGAGGGAGGAAGAGGGCTACTGTGGGCCCTGCAAATTAACGGAATTAACGTTTGGAAAAGACGCAGGTTTCTCCTTTCTCAGGCCCGCAGGATCACCCAACCTAGGCAGGCGCTGAGGGCAGGGGTGGGGACTGGATTGCTCTTGCTTTCTGGAGAAAGGGAGGCACATGGGGGGAGGAGGTGTGCAGAACTGGTGTAGATCTGGGGGCTCCTGGTGTCCAGGTCGCGGTCCTCTGGAGTTTTTGAATCAATTAAAGCAAATAATGCTCTCTGTTTTCCACCAGGCCCAGGCGAGCGATTGGCCGAGGCCGGTCCCGTGACCAAGAATTCCCTGCAATTTCGCCAGAGTACTGGGTTTAATAGAGAGAGTCCCCATACGCTTGTATTTATCAGCAATATACAATTATAAAGGCCCAAAATTTAAAAAAAAAGAAAAAAAGAGAAAGAGAGGAGTGAGCGAAATCTCCCCCTCCCAAAATCGCTCCATCACAGAAACTTGGGGGGGCCAGGAGGGGGGGTCCCTTCCGATCCTCCCTCCTGACGCCCCCCCCAGCAGGCCCCCTCCCCCACCATTGAAAGCCATGAATTTTGAATATGAGAGAGAGATCGGGTTTATAAACAGCCAGCCATCGCTCGCCGAGTGCTTGACTTCCTTCCCCGCTGTCTTGGAGACATTTCAAACTTCATCAATCAAGGAGTCGACATTAATTCCTCCTCCTCCTCCTCCTTTCCAGCAAACCTTCCCAAGTCTCCAGCCCAGCGCCTCCACCCTTCAGAGACCCGGGAGCCAAAAGCAAGCCGAAGATGGGCCCGCTCTGCCGCCGCCGCCGCCGCCGCTCCCCGCCGCCCCCCCAGCCCCTGAGTTCCCCTGGATGAAAGAGAAGAAACCGGCCAAGAAGCCCAGCCAATGCGCCACGTCTCCTTCCCTGGCCGCCGCCTCCGTCGCGGCCTCGGGAGTCGGGTCGCCTGCAGGTCCGTAAGTGGGGTGGGGGTGGGGTGACGGGAAAAGCCAGGCAGAACGAGGCGTGCGGGAGGTAAGAAAAGGTGGTGAGAGCCTGTTGGGGTTCCTTGCGCCCCTCGATTCCAGGGATGGGGAAGCCCTTTCCTGAGGGCGTTCAGGCCTGGGTGCTGCCACCATTCACCACCAACACCACTACCCCGCCCCAGCCGATTCGTGGGGGGAGGATGGTTGGACGGGTGTTGTTCGCTTTTCTCCACTAGAAGAAAGAGGACCCTGTACCTGGGCAGGGACAGGAATGTGTGGCGGCTGGGATGGCG